GGTTGTAGCCAACTAAAGCCACGTCTGCCCTATGGGGCGGTAGTCGATGCTAGTCCTACTCAGAGTAGCCCTACTGATGTAAATGGATCATATGCTTCATTTAGGTTCTTGGGATTCAACTAATGAGTCCTTAACTGTTCAAGGACTTCTGCTTGTGCAACAGGTTTCCTTTATCTCCTTATCCTTCCCCCCAAAATTAGCTTGGTGGGAGTTGTGAAAATCCCCGGAAGAGCACACAAGGGGGTGGAGAGAGGGGTGTCATTCTTTCTGAAGCATTCATTGCATTGATGGAATGACCAGAAGAGCAAGATGTTGAATTCCTCCCATTCATTTTAATGGGTATACTCTGAGTAGGACTTGACTGAATACAACCCTATACAGTGTCATGCCACATTAAACAGTTATGACTCCCCCCATAGAATCACGGGAAGTGTAGTGCATTAAGGGTGCCAAGAGTTATTAGGCAATCTCATTCCCCTCACAGAGCTACAATTCTCGGAGTTCCTTAGGAAGAGGGATTGACTGCTAAGCCACTTTGGGAGTTGTAGCTCTCTGGGGGGGTGAATAGGGATTTCCTAACAACCCTTTTGACCAAACTGCGGGAGGCAGTGGAAGACAGGAGTGCCTGGCGTGCTCTGGTCCATGGGGTCATGAAGAGTCGGACACAACTAAACGACTAAACAACAACAACAACCCTTAGCAAGTAGAATTAAAAGGGTATGGGCAGGGGATGAAATTTTGAGTTCACTGGTAGGAATTTGTGAGAACTTGAGTGGGATTTCCCCTGCACTTTTTTTTGCTAAAAAATGCCTTGCACTAATGTTCTTAAGGATTTCAGAAACCCAATACCTTTTTTTTATATATATATAATGAGCCTTCCTGGCTCATTTTTTAACCACTGCCTCTGCCTCTGCAGCTTTCTAACAGAGCTTTATTCTGCAGCTGTGTCAATGACCTGAGAGAGAAGGGGGTAAGCCACACCAAAGTCTGCTACCTTCCCAATAAGCAATAACAACCATTGACTTCTACCAGGATCAATTGGAATAATGACAACACCCCCCCCCCCGTGTAAATCAACCAGGCTTCATTAATTTTCATGCCCGTCAGAGAAAATTAACTGCCCTAATCGCATTGCACATTTGCCAGTGCAAAATGAAGAAAGCATTGACTGCTATGTCCTGAGGCTATTCCATTCTACTGGACAGCTTAGACATTACGGGACTGAGTATGCAATTAAGATTTCTTTTTATTAACCAGTTTTTACATTACGTTCAACAGCCCCTTTGCACAATTAAATGTCCCGTTTAACAAGCATGATAAAATTCTCATTAGCCTCTATTATAGGCTTTTGTAGAATCTTCCTGCTTTGCTAGAACACCAATGTAATCTAATTAACTCCACCACTTAAAATGTTTCTTCCCACCTCTTGTTCACTCCCCTCTCCACTGCCACCAATTTCCTTGATGTTCATTAGGCCTCTTGTGGAAAACAAATCCACAGAATGCACAATGAATGCCATTTATCCTATAAAATACTAGGGAAAGGAGGCCTTGCAGAGGTCAAACATGGTAGCTAATTTCTGCAGAAGCATGATAAGATGGAATCATAGAAAGATATGTGTTATCACAAGACAAGACAGCACCAGACAAAGGAATTAGGCTGTTGGCTGCTCCCCCCGAAAAGCATCCAAAACAGCAGAATGTTAGCTATATACTTGGAAAGACTTAATGATAAACAGAGGGTCAAATGTGCTTCTTTGAAGATGAACTTTCTGGGCAGGATGGACTGAGGGCCAAACTTAATGTGTTATTAATTAAATGTGCAACAATAATCCATGTGATTAATGTGCTTTTTTGGTTACATAAATAACAATGGGGGATGCTGAACAGACTTAAGAACATATGGGGGTGGACAGATGGTGAATTTAATTATTTCTCCCCTTGCCATGACGAAAAAAATATGCCTCTCTGGTGTGGCTAGTTATATTTCAGTAGAAGCTTTTGTTGGTACCAATAATTGAAATTCATTGGGTGGGTGGACTGTCCATTGATTAAATACTGTGATTCCACAAAGGCAAGTACAGCACACTAATGGGAGGAGTGGTGGATGTTGTGCTGATTTGGTCATCAGTTTGATGTGGGTATAATGGAAGCTTCCCTATCTGTGAACACAGTCCCATCTACTCTACATCCAGTTCATTCTTTCCACTGGTTTGGGAAGCGGTGAGCAAGCATTGCTAACCACAGTCCATATCACGAATCTATCCTGTAGTTTATTATGAGATACTGTGTTCTGAGGTGCTTCCTCCCAATCCAGCTTTGATCCAAATTGAGAACAAGAATGATCTAGGTGTGTGAAAGGTGGTGGTGTATGCACAGCCTCCATTGCTATTGGGGAGATGGGATTATTTTTGCCCACCTCACCATAAGACAGAAAGAAGAGTCCTGATAGATTAGACCAAGGATCCATCTTGTGTGGCATGCAATTTCTCTCAGTGGCTAGCCAGTGTATGAAACAGCTGTATTATGCTCATGCCCTCCAGTGGTGGCCATTCACAGATATATTGACTTTGAACATAGAGGTTCCATGTGGCCATAATTTCCAATGGCTGTTGATAGACCTGTCCTCCATTAATTCATCTAATGTCCCTCTGAAGCCCTCTAAGGCCATAACCACCCCCATATCTTGTGCCATTGAAACACAAACAGAGATGACATAACCTCTTGGAGCAGAAAGTTCCACATAAATATCACCATCACAAAGAACTCTCACTCTTTGCCACCAGCTCTGCTTCAGAAGGAAGTGGCTGTCAAACATGGAGAGTCTTCTCCCCCTCCAGGCAATAATAACAAGCAGTTTGTATTTTATAGTCCTTTTCATTCAGTCATCTTGTTGCAAGACAAGAATCCATGTCTCCACACAAAGAAATACATTGGCTACTCTGAGCCCTGCCTCTTCCACTCCCAACAACATCCTGAGTGCCAATGGGAAGTCCCAGGAGTCCCACCCCTCTGCCTCCTCTGTTATAGGATGAGGAGGGACTGATGGGCCTGTGGAGACGGAGGATCCCCATACTTTCCAGGGAGGTCTCTGCCGTCTATGCTATCATACCTTCCTCCTCCACTATCTCATAACTAGGCAATTCCTCCTCAAATGGTATAGCATCTCTCTCCCTCTCCTCCTGAAACTGCTGGAGACAAGTGAGGCAAAACACACCCCCCTTCAGAGAGAAGCTGATTAGACTGAGTGCACACTTACCAGTCTTCCTGTTCCGGCCATTCCCTGACGGCAGCCAATGGAAGAGACACCCAAGTGTGTCAGTCAATACCTATCTAAGTTGTTTCTTTGCCTGAAATCCAAATAATGCCCCCCTAGCACTACAAAAAGTCACCAGTTCTTGCCATCACCTGTACCCTCTGCCCCCCTAATGTTGCTTCCTGAAGCAGGTTACATCAGGTATGCCCATGAGCCTGATACCAAAGTTAACAATGTCTAAGAAGGTTGCATAACTGGCTATGTGCAAATGTGAGTGTGTTTTTAAATTGAGATTGCTTTCAGTGGAGGATCTCCATGCTAACAGCATAGAAGAAAGAAGAAAAGACCGTGAAGGAATTCTTCACGGTGACAAGAAGACAGTATACGAGAAAATGAAACCTTATGCAGGTGTGTGATAAGGAAGATGCTGTCCTAGTGGTAAGGAAGGCATGTGGAGCCTTCCTTGACAGGAGGATGGAAAAGGCACTGTTACCTGAGCAGCCCAGCCAGTGCCCTGACATTGGGGATTAAAGGTTGTTTTATCATTGGCTTCAGGGAGATGATCCTGCTGTTGAACCCCTTTGCAAACCTTCCAGTGTTCCATTGTAAGCCACCCTTTAACCATGATGGAAGAATCAGAAGGAGAAGGACGCCCAAAAGACTCTGAAATCCAAATGAGCCAGGTGGAGGACAGATTTTCTAAAATAACCCCCCTCCATTCTATATAGAATAGAAAGAAAAGAAAAATGAGAAAAAAGCCTACAGAGGAAGCTCTCAATTGCCTAGATTCCCCTCTCGCCTTTTCTCAGACTGACTCTGGTGGATGCAAAGAAATCTGTGGTGCTACAATTCAAAATGACTTCCCTATTTCTGGGCCAAGAAGGCATGCTCAGGGACCTTTCATAAGGACATTTCTCACACTCCATTTTTTTGTTAACCTCTTCCCTTCCCACCTCACAAACATTGCCCTTTTTTAGCACAATACTTCATATGTCACAATCTCGCCACCCCACATCTCCATGATGTACAACATACTTTATAAATGCCCTATCATCCACAAAGTACAGTAATCCATTGTCTTTTATAGAAAGACAGGAAAAGAAAAATCCAAAATCCATAGGAGGGCAATACTTTTATTAGAGCCAGTCAATATGTCACAGAATTGTGAACTCGTTTTTTTGTGGCATTTTGGTTACTCCTTAACATTAAGGATGGACAAATCTGTCAGTTTAAAGTTTTCTTTGTTTCCCCACATTTCCTTATCAGTTTCCAACTTTAAAAGAAACATACTTATGAAATTTCATCAGCAGTAGTGTGTGTTGCTTTTAGTATACACAGTTTTGGAGGTAAATTTCCCTAATCAAATGCATTTTTTTAAAAATAATATATGCATTTTTTTGCACCCTGTTCCCTAATACACACTTTTTGCTGCTGTTGGAGAAGTGTATCACAAAATTGAGGGGGGGGGAGTGTTATCTTTGGGGGACAGCTGTATTTTGTCTTCATTGTTTTGGTGAATGCAAATTAGGTAGATTTGAAGTAAAATTCAAACCAAACTAGGTTTCTCCCTCATCCCTAGCCCTAATACAGTTAGGATAAAATTAGCACCTTGAATCCTTCTCCAAATACAGTCGGAAACTAGTGCTGATGCTCACATCCCATATCAATCAGCCCAGGCTCTAAGATAATTACCAGTGGTCTCTCTGTTGATGATCATATCTAAGAGAGAAGGGAGGGCCTTCTCAGTAGAGGTGCACCACTTATGAAATGTTGCTGTCCTTGGTGCTAACACACCAGGCAAAAACATTTATTTATTATTCATTTGGTACATTTATACCCAACATTTCTCCCTCGAGGGGACTCAGTATGACATATGATGCTCCCATCTGCCTCTCCCACCCAAGCTAGGCTACATCAGACCTGGTTAGCTTTAGCAAGGTGGTAGCATCAGGACCTAAATATCCAGGTTTAAATGGAAATTATTTAGCAATTTGTAGCCCATTTTATAGTTCATCTGCTACTTTTATCCTTGTTTTTGTGTTTTATTGTATTGGTTTCATGTGGAACACTGCTCCACAATCTAATATTCAAGCCAAATAAATGCTGAAGCATCAGTGGAATGTCTTCTTGCATTTTTGATTGGAGACACATGGTTATTTATTTCATACCACTAGATTCATAATAAAAAACCCTCAAGTGGATTTATAAAAGCAATAAAGCAATAAAATTATTAGTAAAAGGAGTTAAAACAGTAGAAAAAAGCTATAAACTGAAGACGCACCAATATTCTAGATATCTGGATTTGCTTGTCTAAACAAAAATGTTTTTAGCAGGCACAGAAAAGAGCACAGTGAAAGGGTCTTCCTGATATCAATAGGCAGGAAGTTCCAAAGTGTAGCGATGCCACACTAAATATCAGTATCAAACATCTGGACGTGTAAAAGGTTAAAAGAGTATTGGGAAATGATCCATAACGAATTGAAAAAAATGTTTAAAAGTACTTTCCCAAAAAACCCAGAGTCCTTTCTCTTGGGGATAATTCAGACTGAAATTCCCAGTTGTTTAAAAAGTTTATTTATGTATGTTACTACTGTGGCCCGTGTTTTGTTAGCCCCAAAATGGAAAATGAGCGAGGTCCCAACCAAAGAAGAATGTCAGCTTAAGTTTGATGGAATATGCACCACTTGCAGACTTAACATATTGAATAAGAGAACAAGAAGAACATATGTTTAAAGAAGATTGGAAAACGTTTATTGAATACATGGGAGATAATTGTGTACAGCTGAAAACACTGGCAGCATTAAGATAAATTCAACTGTGTAAATAAGTTTTGATGGCTGCAATAATGGAATACTGATTGGTATACTTTTTGTAAAATATGCAGGGATTTATGATATGTAAAATGAACCATGGAAAGAGAAGAAGGGAAGTCTTTGATATCTTAAAGATGTAAAATGAGTATTTTAAATTGTAAAACAGAAAATTTAATTAAAATTATATATATAAAAATATCAGTATTAAACATTGGTTTCCATCTATCCTTTTCTTGTCATACTGAGATTCTGTCATTAATTACATCATCATCTGTATGTCCTTCCACAGGTCAGGAAGATTATTTCAACTTCTGTGGAGGAATTGTTTGATGAAGGCTGTTGGCAGAAATGTATTTTAATGCTGGTTTTCACAAAAGTGCATGAAATGAGGTGATTTATTTCCCCTTTGATAGGCATGAAGTACTCAGAATGCAAAAAGAGAAGAGCCCAACATTTTCTCCCAACTAACTTTAACCCCTCTGAAATATATCTCCATCAGTGCTATTCTTCTAGAAAAAGAGGTGTTGGAACTCACCATGAACATCTCCCTTGTTCTCTTATGATAGCAATGGTGCCCACCTGAGAGGTGCCAGGACTCAGTTCCAGTGAGTTCCCACGGAAAAAAGCCCTGATCTCCATTGGCATGAAGATTAAAAGTGGTATTCAATGTTAGTTCTATGCAGAGTGGACCTGCTGAAGTTAATACACATGTCTAACTTAGGGCCATCCAAGCAGGTGAGGGCTGTGTGATAACAATGTTACACTTCTATGTATATAGGACGATACACACAATTCCTGGTTCACTTCTTTCACTCCCCCATCTTTGGTCTGCTAGGTCAATTTGGGTGGAGCCTTTGTTTCCTTCACACCTGTTTCCTGCTATACTATCTCTGTTGCAGAGGGTCATAATCATAGGGAAGCTGGAAAAGTACTGCAGACAGATAGAATAAGTGAATAGCTGGTAGACTGCCTGACTGGAATCCTGAGACAGTGAATATTGGTTGCCTGTTCTATCTCTTTGATACAGAATAATATGATTACAAGTTAATCCATCCCCAAATACAGTTCTATTATTTGCCATGGCAGTTCCCCCCTCCCTGTTTGGTTGCAATGGTAATTTAAGCTGTCTCCATTCCCAAGCTTCTTTTGCTTAGTCAGTCAACACTGTTGCATACTGCAAAGCAACCTGACACATATCAGTGACACATAACTGCTTATGTTATGCACACATGCCGTGCCATTCGGTATCACTGAACACCGTGTCAGGCTGCAGTTTGACAACCCCAAAGTTGCAAGTGAGTTTGTGTGTGCGTGTTTTGAAATTAGTGCTATACAAAACAGAGAGTTTTAATTTTGCCAGAGTGTGCTGGGAGAAAATCCAAATCTTTGTTCCAATATCAGATGGCACCGAACAGTGCACTGCCAGAACATAATTAAAAAAGAAGAGATTGATGGCAATTAGGTGTGAGGAAGAAGCCCCCTCCTGGGTTTATAAGGGGTAGATCAGCTGCAGAGAAAGAGGATTAGTTCGTTCTCTCTCTCTCTCTCTCTCTCTCTCTCTCTCTCTCTTTGTGTGTGTTTACAAAATTTCCTTCAAGTAAGAGGGAACAGATTTTTTAAAACTCCTTGCAAACGGCGATAGCTGATATCCCTGGAATGATGGCTACATCATTAATAAGCAGTGCCATCGCTTCATCATGACCGCAGTTTACTCAGTGTATAGTGGGTTATCCATCACTTGAAGACAGACATTGTAGCATTATGAAAGATCTGCAGCTATTCGTTGAGAGATCAGTGAAGCAGGAAACAATTGACATTCCGAATTTCATAAATTAAGCAACCCAAAGATGATAATGGATTTTCTGTGTGAAGCCAATAGAGGGAAATCTTGAATGGCAAATGACAAGTTGGACTCACAGTGCCATCCTAAGCATGTCTACTCAGAAGTAAGTTTTATTGACTTTGGTGTGGCTTACACCTATGAAAGTTGGGTTACGATTGGAGCCTCAGAGTTGTGGTAAGGTAAAGGAAAAAAGTTGTGGTACTACAATGTGTGCTATATGATGAGGCAGGATTTTAGAATTTTGTGGCAACACATATAGGGCAAATACTGCACCTCTTTTAAGAAGCTGAACCCAGCCAGTTTCCCATACCTCATTGCTGTCAGGGTCTGACTCCTCCTCCTTTACATTCCTGCTATTTGATCACTATGGCTGGCTATGGCCTACTCACCTCTTCTAATAAGCAACCCCCACATCATCTGGTGCTGGATTCTGCTTATTAGAGGGTGACACAGGAAGGCCCAATTCCATCCCCACCCCAGGAAGGGGAAGCCAAGAAGCTGCAGCTGTGAGGGTGGAGACAGGACATTCACCTCCAGGTTGGCTTCTTTTTTTGGTGGTAGTGGCAGCAGTGGAGATCAAGGGGAGAGTCTTTTGCCTCTTCATCATTGTTGGGATTTCAGCTCCACATTCACTGAGAATTTGGGGGCAAAGAGACCAACACGGGATAATCAACAGGTGGAAGAGAAGAGTGCTTGATCCATTTACTACCTGCTGTCCCGCCCTCCCCTTGGCAAGCTCCACCACCAGACGCTGCCTCTTCCTCAAACCAGTCTTTTGATTTGGGATCCAACCTGGTAAGAGAGATCAGGTGTAGGCGTTTGCCAGAGGTGGATTTGTGACTGGTTCACACTGGGTGCTGAGCTGAGAGGCTGCCACAGAGGGCACTGCAACAACACCGAACAACGGAAGGCAAGAGGCGGGGAGGACACTGAATGTTGGCATCACACAGTGTGCCACTTAAAATTTTAAAGCCCAAAGTCCGTCACTGCAATTCCAGTGGGAATTGCTGGGGGAATGACTAAGCCCATAAAATCTGTGCTTTAAATGTCCCCCGCCTCGTCATTAAGGCTTTTCAGGAAGTTTTATTGGTTTGGAAAACTCCTTTTGTGTTGCTCGTAACATCTGCTTCAGTCCCTGTCCATGAAACTCAATGTGGGGCATTGACTCAACTTATCTCAGCTTGTGATGAGAATAAAATATGTATGCCCATGAAACACCCATGTGAGAAATAACAATGAAGGATCCTTATACATTCCAAATAATACGCCCCCCCCTGCAAATATGGTTGCTTATTATGACTTCGTAGACTAACCATAGCTTAGTGGCAAAGCTCATGGCATCTTCATTTTAAAGGATGATCAGGTAGCAGGTGATGGAAAGGATTTTACCCTGGGACTCTGGAGATCTATTGCCACTCAGAGAATGCCATGCTCCATGGTCAAATAATCTAACTTGGCACAAGGCTGCTTCATACGTGTTTTTGATGCTTGAACATAGTTTCCACCTCTATGTGCTCACCCACTGTGACTTATGTAGCACCACACAACTTGACAATAGCTCAAGTTTCTTTGCAAACAATCTACAGCCTATTGCCCTGAAGGCTCTGGTATGGCAAGCGTGTGTTTCTTGACTTAGCACTAGGGGATGTCAGCTTGGACAAGAGCCAGCAGGAGATCTGCAGTGTTGCTCGCCCCCTGCTCCGCAACATTTTGGCAGATGGAAGTAGATGGGGAAGAGGCTCTCAGAAATGAAACCACAGCTGCACATCCTGATGGTGACTGCCCTCGGGGATTTCTCATTTATTCTGTGCTGGCTGAGTTTGCAAAAACAAAACACAAACCCTGCATCTGTGCTGTGGCAAAAGGGAGCGAAATAACTGGATTTGCAGCCTGAAGAAGACCCATACATCCAAGCAGCTCTGTGCAAAGCCAGCACCTGCTGTGAGACGTTGATGTATTGAGACTCTGAGCCTGATGTCATGAGGGCTCATGTGAAACACATCTAAATCTTTTCCTACCTCTCAGGACCATCTGGAAAACCTCTTGATGCATTATCGGGTCTCATTCACAACTTACTGTGTTATGCATGGCTGCCAAATGTTTGAGAACAGTGGTAGGAAGGGATTTGGACATCTCTTAAATACAACATTCAAGCTTTGCATGATGGTTCCTGAGATCAAGGAGCAGGTTTTCATCTATGTTCAGATATGACTGGATGCCATTTTGAATCTACCATCTTAATTCGATCTACTGACTTAACCTTTCAAAGCTGCATTGATTTTAACCACCAGTGTAAGAACTATACTGTTTTTTTTGTTTTGTTTCTTAGTGTTCCTGAGGAATGCAAGGTACAAGACTGCTTCATACTTTTGTGTGCCTATATAATATCTGGTGGTATCCAGTGCAGTTGTCTCATTCATGCAAGGGTTTCTGCTTGTGCAACAGGAATTCCCTTCCCCCTCCTCTCCTTGTGCACCCCCTTGAAAAAAGGGTTTATACCCACCAAACAGGGAAACGGATAGGGATAGGGGGGAACCTCCATTGTGCAAGCAGAAGCCCTTGCACAAACAGAATGGCTTTGTTGCACACAACTCCATGTCTTAAAATGTTATTTCTCTTTTGCAAACGTTTTAGGATCAGTTACAGTCACATGAGAAAGATCCCTCCACTCATGAGGATTAGAAAATAATGAAATATTGCATTATGCTGGTGAGGCGCTTTGAACAATTTAAGTGCACTATTTCTATCTGTTAAGTAATAGTTACTTACTTACTGGATTTAGATGCCACTTTTCTTTCATGAAGCTCAAGGGTACAAGCTTGGGGGTTCTCAGATGATCTCCATTCCAGGTAACAACCAGACCCTGAGCTGCTTCAATTCAGGAAGGGGCAGTGCTGGACACACCATTACATTTTGCTGTGTGAAGTGCAGCCCAAATGGCAACACCCTCTTTGATAGGACCCAGCCTGAAGTGCTGCTGCGCAGACAACCATTCCTATCTCCACCCATTCCACCCTCGTGGCACTGCCTGCAGTAGGGTTACCTTACCCTGTTGCATGGCAAAGCTGGTACTGGTAATATGACTGCATCATGTGCCACTTGGCTGAAGAGGAACACCAGAAGCATGTGCAAAACCTACAGCACAAAGAGTTGATGGGTGGGTGAGATTAGTTTATGCAAATTCATCTTAAATCTGCAGGTTCAGAGATGGTGGAGGAGACATCTCACATTGGTCTGAAACTGTGACTGTGCCGATTGTCACCAGTGAAAGTTTTCCTATACTAGTCTGAAAACTCAGTCGTCTTTGCTTTACCTGCCTCCACTTCAGGCAGCTGAAAACCAAAATAATCATTGCAGACTGAGAGAAACAGCAGATTTATGGAAAACTCTTAAGTCTTTCTAGCCCTGAAGAAGATGGGTACGTTTCTGATTGGAATATGCATGGTGTGACAGGAGCAAAGGCAAACTTCTAGCCTCACACACTTTCCACACAGCTGCTTCTCAGCAGCATTATTATCCAACCCCTTAACACTCTCCAGTGTGAAAGGATGGGGGAAACTGTCAATCAACAAAAGAGATTCTCCTGGGGGAGCAAATAAGGGGCAATTTTCTTGCCTCTGCTGTTTTAATTGAATGCCAGGGCCAGAATCCTCACTGTGCATTGTTTAGGGATTGCTGATGGGTTGAGTGGAAAGACTTGGAGCAAAGTGCAGAGTTCAAAAAACTGAAAGCATGAAGAAAAGTGAATCTTCCCAGAAAAGTCTATTATTTAAGGAGGTGTGCTGGGGGGGAGTGCCAATTCACACCTGCAGCTCGAGTAGTCACTTATGCCCTTCCAAAAAAAGGGGGGAAACCCACATCACCAAAGAAAGAAAGAAAAAGAAAAGAAAATATATACATATACATACACTAATTAACATGTAGGTGCTAACAGTAGATGGCCAACTTTAAGACCCCCTCCGGCTCTCCCTTCTTAGGGTTCCTAAGAACTGGACTGGGCAGCCCTTTAGATACATGACTGGCCTCTGAGAGCCCTTCAAACTGTCCTTTATGAAAGAGGATGCATGACTACCATACCTGGGACTTTTGCTTTGCTCTTTGCACTTTAATAGAATGCCTTCTTAAACTTCAGCTGCATAAGGGAAATATTTATCACTGCTCATCTGTAGCCTGGTAAGGGCTTGCTATTCATACATCATGGTAACTTGAAGATGGCTCCTTGCTTAGAAGGAAGCAGGATCTTTATTAGTACCTTAAATCACAGGATTCCTGCATTTTGTATTAAAACCAGTGCTTTTTCTGGGGGTACATGGGTATGCATATCCCTAAAAATTTTGTGAATATTTGTACTTTTGTCCATTTACTGTATTTATTTTGCCTGATTTGAACTATAAAATAGTGATTTTCTTGAGTCAAAATGAGAGCACCCCTAAACATTTTTTAAAGAAAAAAAGCACTGATTAAAACCAAAACTCTGCATATTGGTACCCGACCACCCAGCCCACTTTCCTCTTAAAATGGTTTCTACCTGTCATGGATTGGCTGAGTCAGGATGCTGCTGAGGATGGTTTGCAGAAGACAGTAAGACTTCCATGAGAGGTAGTGGACGCCTTCCTTCCTTCCTTGGATGTTTTTAAGCAGAGGTTGGATAGCCACCTATCATGCATGATTTAGTTGAGTTTCCTGCATTGCAGGCAGTTGGACTTGATGACTCTCAAGGTTCCTTCCAACTCTACAATTCTATGTTTATATGACCCCAGGGAGTGATGCTGAGGATCCTGGAGTGGGTCCAAATGTGTACAAGATTTCCTTCGACCTGCTTTTTCACCCTGCTGGTTGCTGTGATGAGAGTCATGGGCCTCACCTTCCTCTCCACAGCTGCCAGAGTCCATTGACCCCATTTTTTTCTATTATGGTCTTCCTCGATGTTCTCCAGATGATTGAACTACAATTCCCATCACCCCCAAACATGAACTATACTGGCTAGGACTAATGGGAGCTGTAGGGTCCCAGGTTGAGGGAAGGTTGCATTGCATATAAATCAATGTAAGCTTTACTTTATCCAGATTAGAGATGGTCAACAATGGTATTTTCAATTTCTCAGGACTGTTATAGTCTACAAAGTGTGGCCCACAAGCTTCACAGCCTTACAAGCAAAGCTCTGTGCAAAATTTTATTGCGCCTTGATTAATATTTGCCCTTGGGGCCAGATCCAGCTCATGGATTATCAGTTTGCTATCCCTTCTCCAGATCACAGTCCACCTGTCCCTCTCTCTGGATTAGAGGTTGTTCTGCAAATTTTCTGATTCAGCCAAGCTTTCAGACTCTAGATGGCAGAATTACAGCTTCTTTGTCCTCTCGATTCTCTGTCATCTAGTTCAGACAGATAGGTGGACAATGTGGTTGTTTTTTTATTAAAAAAGTAAGGATGAAATAGGGGTGGTGGAAGGAATAGTGTTTTCATTTTGGAAGCTGGTGAGTTTCATCTATTATGTTCCTTGACTCCCCAAACACTCTGGTCTGTCTGTGTTAGTTTACAGACTAAAGAAAGACATTCTGTGTTGAGCTCAATTGTTTGCTGCCAGTGCCCATTTTTCTCTCATGCTGATGCTTCAACTAGCTGCTTCAGTTTAATTATAGCATAATTGGACAGCAGAGAAAGGAGTTCATTGTTGATGCTTCTTTAAGGGATAAAGAATTAAAGATACCCCCCCCTTCTTCCTCTATCCCAATGAATGGTACTTGATGCTGCAGGGACTTTAATTGGCCTGTTAAAATCAACAATACTAGAGCTTGTTCGAACTGTCCCCAGCAATCCTTTATTCTTCATTGTCCATAATTTAGCCATTCTTTCCTTTCTCTTGTTTCTTTCCCCAATCACTGTGCTGCTTTTGCTATGACCAAAGAATAAGAGGGAAATGGAATAACACTAGTGCTATTTTTCTAGAAAATGAGGTGCTGGAACTCACCTCGAACACCTCCCTCATTCTCTTAGAATGGCAATGGCGCCCACCTGAGTGGTGTCGGAACTGAGTTCTGGGTGAAAAAAAGCTCTGAAGAGCACATATGGTGTGTGTGTGTGTGTGTGTGTGTGTGTGTCTGTGTGTGTAGTCTGAATCTTTGTTGAACTCCTCTTTCTCCAATCAACTCTCTTCACCCACTCCAGAACTGACACTGACCAGGAAAAATTAGGAATTTCATGGATGCCTCATTTGCACTGGTGTTTAAATACATGATCTCTTGAAAGTGAAAAAATATCAGTGCTGCTGAAACAGACAAAGACTTTTCATCTGTGTTTTGATGGAGAGCATATGAACCTCTCTTTTTCTCTTTTAAATTCCCGAAGAGGAGAAAAGCCCAAGCTTGTGAAATTAGCAAGACATTTCCTAACATTCCAATTTCATTGGGGACTTGAGAATGTGGACAGTGTTTAGGCTGAAAAAAAGGATGCCTGGTGGAGAAAACATCTCATAATAGTGTAATATCACTTTGTGCTGTATTGTTTCCTCCAATGTCATGGCATTCCACTCTCTAAGTAAATGAGCTATATATGGAGGGGGATCTGTGCCAAATTTCTTTACTTTTGATTACTCCTTTCTTTTCTGTTTGCAATTCTATAGCCAGCACTTTCAGATCCATTCCAAAATAGAGTATGGTCATATTGCATTGCATTGTTCACTTTAACATTCCTGTACTGGATACAAAAAGCTCAATTGTTCAGTAAATACCACAAATAACCTCTCGTTATGACTGTGTTTAGGACATATTATATATAGCATTGTCTAAAATATTAAAAGCTGGATCAATGAGAAATGGGAGTGGGAGAAAAGATGATTTTAAAGGAAGTGGGAGAGTTTCCAAGTGGAAGTGAAAAGGAAGTCAGAGGGTTAGGCCAGGCTTGGTTTTAGCTATCTGAAAAAAGAAAGAAAAAGAATTGTTATAAATTGCCTTAAAAGAAGTGAGATGGCATCCTTTCCCAACTCATACCACTTGAGCATAGAACTGATTGCAGAATGGTCTGAGAAAACAAGAACTGATGTTTCTTCATATTTGACTTTGTCATAGGCTTTTACTTCCTCCCCCTTTGCCTTTCACTGGTACTCCAGATTTTCTGGCCAGCATTTGGCAATGGGGACTTTGCCACTTGCCATCAAGCCCTTTTATCTGCTGCTGTCAATTTGCACCTGCCAGTCCTGGAGTTTGAGTTCTGACTGTCTCCAAATAAAACAAAGTCACCATCTTCAACTCAGGAAGGTATGTACTGTGATGGTCTTCTTCAAGGTGACTCTACTCAGGTGGCTCAAGCAAGTAGTTGCACAGGTAAGGTTCAAAGCAGAGCACTTTTCCAAGCACCAACTGTTTAATTTCTGTGCCACAGAGATTCCTCTGGTGCTCAGGATTGCATGCAGTCACCCAGATATTTTTCATATGATTTTTGATTCTCCGAAATCAGAGTGCAGCTTTGGGAAGGAAATCATTACTGAAAGGCTAGAATCCTGACAAAAGACTGAGCTCAGCCACACCTTTTAGCTTTCTGAGCTGTTTGTGGCTGCATAAATGTGGCATTTTAATTCTAGAATCAATGGAGAATGTGTATATGTTTCCCCCCCTACATAGCCGATGCACAATCTAGATCTATTGCATTATTATTTTTTGCCCCTATTTTTGGTTTCGTTCCAAAAATAGAAGCTTATTGAAGATTGATTCTGCATTACTGTGCAGTGCGTCCATTTGAAAACAGGTGACAAGAGATGGAGGTAGTCCCGGCAATGGACTGCTGGCTACAACTGCCCAGTGTTGTTGGTGGGCATATACCAATATTGCAATCACCACTTCCTTCACTTACTGCAAGTTCAGGAAGCAAAAAGGCACGGGAAACCTAATCAAGGGGAGGGCTTATCACGTAACCAAATCCACCACTGCGGACATCAGGATTTAGATTCAATCTAGACTGAAAGCAGCATATTGAGGATGATGAGCACAAACGACTTCAGACTGAGAAAAACTACATTTTTGTGCTACAAATGGGTTAGTGTGTACGCAGCCTGTTTCTCCAACTGTGCATTCAGACTGCTCTCACGGTGACTTTCTCTCCCCCTATCATCATTCCTTTCCTCCTTCCTGTCAGAACTAGTTGCACTTTTTTGTTTCCAGCCGTCACCTGCTTCTGCTTGCAACTGGAGTGGAAGTTATCAACAGCGTCGTGGAGATGCAGCCACAGAAATAGCTTGTAACCGGCAATACAGTTTTAAGACAAAACAAAACTGATGACTGGCCAGGGCGACTGAGAGTCTAGTGTCTAGTTAGCATCTACAGCAGGTTAAATAAATAATAGACCCTGGGGAGGCTAATTTAAACAGCACCAATTATTTTTGGGCTTGCCATTGGGGCCATAGAGGTTAAACCAGGGCTGCGGAGCCTCTGCACTGCTTGGTGTTGCTGGACTCCATTTCCCATCAGCCAGAGCTGATAGGTCTCATCCAGCAACATCTGGAGGACCATTGGTTGCCCATTGGTGTTAAAACTTTGCTATAAGTATGCTGCAGTCCCAGTGAAAACTAAGAGCTCTCTTAGTCTAGTATTAAATTGACATCTAGTTTTGCCCTGAACTGACAACCAGAAGGGCTTACAAGGCAATAGCATATGCTGTGCTGTGGTGGAGCCACAACAGATGCTGTGTAACCTGGGAGGGGCTTGAATGGGACCAGGCAGCAAGGTCAGGGTTGTGTGGTCACACCAGTAAGAGCTCTGGATTGGCTCTGCTAGTGTAGCCTTGCTGCACCCCATCTAGGTAAGCTGCAGTGCCATCAGTGTTGGGAGGGTGACATTACTGCTACTACCCCATCATCAGCCACAACTGCTA